GTCATCTATGAAGCTTATGAAGTATTTGCAACCCCCTAAACTTTCTGGAGTTGTAGGTGAACCCCACAGGTCCGAGTGAATATACTCCAGAATCCCTTTAGTTGTGTGCTTGGCTGTAGGGAAACTTTGTTTGTGAGATTTTCCGAGAACACAACTCTCACAAAACTCTAAAGCACCAACTTCACCCTTGGGCAGAAAACCTTCCTTGACTAGGACCTCCATTTTCTTTGAACTCATGTGACCAAGTCTTGAATGCCATAGACTTGTCGTCACTTTCTTAGGTTCAGCAAGATTAGCTTCTCCCTTATTCACTTCTCCTTCTAGGTAGTACAAGCCTTCGTTGTATTTACCCAAAATAACTTTCCTGCCATCTTTGTAGAACGTGACCTTGTAGTCCCCTCCCTCATATTTACACCCTGCTTTTTCTAGCATCCCGTATGATATGAGGTTTCTACTCATCCTTGGCATATACCTCACGTCAGTGAGTATGATAATTGTTCCATCTGGATTTGTTATCCTTATCTTGCCAATGCCTTTAACTTCACTGTCAGTGTTATTTGCCATCAAAACCTTACCCCCATTGATCTCTTCGAAGTCAAACAGAAGGTCCCTGTTAGGGGTTATATGGAAAGTACATCCAGATTCCATAACCCATTCGTTCTCAGAGTTTTGAACACTCGCTGTTAGGACTAGGGGTTGTCTGTCCTCTGTTGCTATATTGGCTGAAGAATCTCCTTTCTTTTGACCTTTGCTTGGACAGTCCCTCTTCCAATGTCTTTCTTTACCACAGTTAAAGCATGTGTTCTTGTTCTCTTTATTGAATCGATTCTTTGACTTAGATCTGTTGTTACGGCTCTTTGAACGACTGTTCTTCTTATTTTTGTTGCCGTTTTCATTTTCAGATCTCTTGTCAGACCTTCCACAGGACTCTGTGACATACAAACCTTCGGCTGAGGACTTCCCTTTTCCAAGGAGACCTTTACTTCTCAGCTCCGCTTCCTTTGAGTAAGCTGAAGTTACCACTTCCTCAACTGTTATGGTTTCCTTTCCAGCACCGTACTGAAGCGTGTGAACCAGTGGTTCATATAAAGGAGGTAAGCTTGAAAGCAATTGTATTGCTTGATCTTCATCTGAGATCATTACCTTTAAGCTTTGTAAGTCAGCTACAAGCTTTAAGAATATGTCAACATTTTCCTCTATTGACTTCCCTTCTTCCATTTTGTAGCATGGGAATTACTTCTTCAGGTAAATCCGGTTCGGGAGTGACTTCTTCTGGTAGTGCTTCTCGAGAGCTTTCCACTGTCCCAGAGCAGTAGGCTTGTGCATGATCTTCCTTAAGATCTGATCTGTTAAGCAAGTACCAAGTAAGCTCCTCACTCTTCGATCCAAAGCTTCCTTTCTCTTATCAATCATCGTTGCTGACCCTGATTCTTCTCCAGGTTTTCTAGTGATCGTCATGATCGTGAAGTCTTCTGACAACACATCAAGTAAGCCATGAATATCGAGTTGACCTAGGAATTTGTATTTCCACATACCAAAATCCCCTTTGCCGTCAAACTTATCCATCTCAAACCTTCCCTGAGTAGCCTCCATATTTTCTGACTTTAGTCGACCAATCTTCGCAGATTACAGACTCCTAAACCTGAAGATCCAACCACACAACGCAGCAAAACACAGAGAGCAGATACTCGACGAAGGCAAACAGCTTATACTGAAAAAACAACGGAGATACGCAGCAACAAACGATCCTTCAAGCAGCTAAGAGCAAAAGACAACCAGGTGCTAATCTTCTTCCTTTCAAACTTTAGAATCCTTCAGATCTGAGAGTTTAGTATCTAACCTGATGCTCTGATACCACTTGTTGAAACTCGATCTAACGACTCGCTCTGATTTGCAGGATTCAACGCGGATCAAACAAGCTGAAATCGAACGAAGAACAACACGAGAAAATTGATCACCCAGAGTTCACCATGAAGGCTACGTCTCTGGGGAGGGAACAGAATCCCTCAACTGCTTTCACTAGATCGGCGATTACAGCCAACAACGGCAACAAGTTCCAGTTACAAGAATAGCAAATAAAAGATCAACAAAACTAGAAGGAGCGTGCTGGATCAGATGAACACTTGCCGGAGTTTGAATGACGACTCCTCAAAGCTCCGGTAAGTTTCTCGACCACTATCTCAGCTTCTGTTTTCGCACTCTTTCTCTCTTTGCTTTCTCTCTCTGTAACAAACTTTCCCGTTCTGTTTCCGATCAACTGGAATGAAGACGACAAAGCTTCATTTATCCAGCTTAGGAAAATGGGCTTCAAAATGTTTGACTTGGCCCAAGACGAGAAGGACGAGATTGGGTCCAAAGCCCACAGGTGTTTGACTGAACCAAATCCACATTGACATTTACTGATATGTTTTAACTATAGAAAAAATAAATATAATTTCGTCGCTATATTTTAGATCACCAACTAAATTTAGGTCCAGATAATACTGTTATATATATATATATATATATATATATATATATATATAAATCAACGTGAATCAAGAAATGGAGATAAGAGAGAGGCTATTGTGGACAAAAGAGAGAACACAAATCAGAAACGGTTGGTACAGGTCACTTATAAGAATATCATAAGTCCTAAGTACTAAGTCCTAAACCCAACCATATCTAACAACGAAGGTGCAAGATATATAAGATAAGAGCCGTTGATCTTGACTCCAAAAAGTATGGTCTTTGTTTGCTAGCTACAAAAGCTACATACATACATATACTAATATAACTATCAACTATGTCACGTACTTATCTTATTCGACAATCTCATGTGATAGTCATCAAATCCTCCAAAACACTCTTACCCAATCCATCTGGTGTATTTCGTCCGCTATACAGACATGTATCAAGATCATCATTAATTTAGTTATGTCTTCTCAAGTCCCACAAGAACTGTAGTATATATGAAAATATATTCTCTAACATAAACCACTATGGCCAACGGTCCAAAGACATTGTTAATGTTCCATGGGTAGCATGCTGTGTCTTTTGTCTGAGAAGAATACTAGACCTGGGTGGGTATTTGGGTCGGTTACTTAAGTTTGGATGGTTTTGATTTAGAAACAATAGTTCTAATAGAACCAAATCTTATTTAGGTTTGAATTCGAAAATGAGATTTTGCAATTTTGGTGAAAACTGGATTTTACAGACTTTAGGGTAAAGCAAGATTTTACGATTTTGATGAGATAATAAGATTTTGTAGTTTTTGGCGAAAAAACGAGTTTTTGCAATTTTGACGTGAAATAAGATTTTTCATTTTAGCATGAAAATATGATTGGTAGTTTGACGTGGAAAGCGAGATTTTCCAATTTTGACGATAAACATAATTTTTTGATTTTAGCGTGAACATTATTTTGCAATTTTGATGTGAAAATGTGATTTTTTTTTCAAATCAATTTTAACCTAGTTTTTTAAATATTGCAAGCCGACCAATATCCATATTATCCAACCTGTTTAAACTTGCTTCGTGTATAAGATTTTCCATGACTAATCTATAACATATTGGACACAGACAACCCGTCTATTTTGACAATTCTATCAGTATGAAATAGATCTCAAAATTGTTTAGATTAGGTTCAATTCAAATAAAAAGAATTAAAAGTTATAGTAAATGTTGGGACTCATTTTATCAGGTAAAAGAGAACCCGACACGTGGATCTAGACTGCGTTAAACGTTGACACACGTCACGCTAGCTCGACCGACTCACTCCCGCGTACTGTTCTGGGGCAGTTGTCTGACTTCCCCAAACACGCCATAATTATTACCCTCAACTGCTACCCTGGTGCACCGCATAGAAGAGACAGGACGAAGAGTCCACGAGTATAAGTAAGGAGAGATCACCACGAGAAAAAGGACAGACAGATGAGAAGGGAGAATCCCCTCTAAAAGAGGTGGTATCTGCTCATCTAAGTCAGTCGATCCAGGCATGCATCACGATCGCGGGTGAACTTCATGTTCTTCCCGGGTGAATGTCGACCACGTTAAGTCATTCCTAATCCAAACCCCGCCTTTATACTCGACTCGCTTTCCTTTTGCTGTATAGGAACCCCTTTAAAACACATGAAAACAGATAGAAACCTCAATCCCCGGACGAGACTTCTCACATTAATCCATAGAAAAATCCCCTCTCGAGTACTTGTTCCCGGTAGAATGTTCATTGACTTGGGCGTCGGAGAACTTTCGGGAGGGAATTCAGTCCTCCCAGAGACTCATCTGACCTTTATCTGAGTGCTTACATGATAGAGCGCAACATTCACTCCATCGCCCCGGGACCAGAAACTTCCGCCTCGGAACGACTCGTCACTTTTCCCCAGGACGAAACTCGGAGGCACAGTTCCAACCCCCGATGAATTATACATCCCACATGGCATCCCAAAATTTGCTCTTGTACAGTAAATAAAATTAACTAGTTGATGAAATTTAATCAAAATTTATAATTTTTTTTTTAAATTGTGAAAAAATTATGAATAATAATATGAAAAAGGAAAATCAAACTATCCAAATAATATAACATTGAGAACTCTGATACAAAATCAGTTAGCAACTGAGAACCCTAACAATGTCTTTATAATTTATATTTATTTTTTATTATTTAGTTATGTTAATTGTTCGTGATTTTTTTATGCTAAAAATATTTTTTATATGTGTTAAAATCTAATCAATATATTTAACATGTGTTGTAATTATGTCAATTATCAAGTTTGAAACATCAAATTTTATATAATAAAATTAAAGTCTATTTTAATGAATTTTAGTTACTTTTTATTTGGTTTAGATAATTTAGTTTATAAATTCTTAAAAATTTAATTCGGTTATTTTGCCACTCATTATTTTAACAAATCTTGGTTTGTGTCAAAAGTTTGAAATGAAAAATCGAAAAAATGACATAATCACAAAAACCATTGAACATAAGGCCCAATCATTTTTCATGTCTTCCGTAAAAGGCCCAAATATCTGTTAGAGTGTTTCGTAAAAAAATGTAAAAAGCCCAAACATCTACGTGATAAAGGGAATTGCAAGAATTAGCAAAAACTATCAAGATCGCACATGGGCCCGTATAATATGGCAACTTATCTCTAGATTAGGGTTTGCGCCGCCAGAATCTTGTTTCTCCGTACTACTTAAACAACCGCCGCAGGATCTTATTCTCTCTCTTTAGATCCAGATCTGAAGCTTGCATCGGAACCGAATCAGGTATGTTACTTTCTTTTTCTCTGGTCTCGTGATGATTTAAGATCGAGAGTGTTCTTATAATCTTCTGGATATATTCTTTTACGGAGATTTTTTTCGGATGAACAGTAGTTTTTAGTAAGTTCATTACGCCCTAGGTTTCGTTTTTCTCAATCAGATCCGATATTACTACCCTGAATTGTTCTTTGATGGTTTTAACAATAGTTTTTCAGAGATAGTTTTTAAACATTGAAATAAGCTCAGATTTTAAGATAGATTGTTAGTATAAAACTTTGATCTGATACATATTGATTGCGGAATAAATTTTGATAATTTTTTATTCTGTCTGAAGAACATTCATTAGTATCAGAACAAAGTTTTATACTAACAAACTAATCTTATAGAAGTGAGCTAATCTCTGATTTGATAAATATTGTTAATATTAGTTCTTTTTGTCTTTGTTGTTGTTTATATTTACAATTTGAATGTTTGGTATAAATAGTAAAGTTTCAATCCAGTTGTGTATTATATAGATCACTTGATATCACTTTTTTGCAAATTTTTATTTATATGATAAATGTAGTAGTAGATTTGTAAGGATATTAATTTTTTAGAATATCATTTTTTGCAAATTTTTATTTATATGATAAATGTAGTAATAGATTGTAAGGATATTAATCTTTTAGAATATCACTTTTTGCAAATTTTTGTTTATATGATGAATGTGATGATCTTGATTGTAAAAATATTAATTTTTTAAAAACAGTCTACTTTCCAAGTTAATGAATTTTTGTAGCCACAACAATAATCCAAACTTGATTTTTTATCCTAGTGGTGATGAAGTTTTGAACTTTTTGGTCTTTAGCACAAGACTATGAAATTTTAACAATTGATCATTGTTCATCTGTTATCTATTATGTTTATTGATTATTATATTTTTTTCTATTTAGCACATCATAATTTCATGATAAATCTTTTTTCATCCAACATAATCTTTGATATAATTTTAACTATATGCAGAACTCTCTTCAAATAAGAAATGTCTCAGATCAACCTACCTTTCAAAGTTGGTCAACATGTTGAAGTGAAATCCTTTGAAAATGGATATCGTGGAGCTTGGTTTAAATGCAAGGTAATGTAACAGTCTTTCTGTTAGTAAGATATTTAAGTAAATTCCTTAAATACTCTTACTTAGCATATTTGATGTTTGAGCATTCAAATGCATAAATTGTATCTTTGCTTCTACGAATTCATTTTGTCTTCAAAGTGAATGTCTAAAGCAGCTCAAATCTTATGAAAATGTACATCATATGTCACCTTATGAAGATGACATCATATGTAGAATCTATGTTCTTTTTTTCTAAGAACTTATATTGAAGTGCATAACTTAGACCATTGCCTTTTGAAATTCATTTTGTCCTCAAGGTGAATGACTAAAGCAGACCGTCTTATGAAGATGGACATCATATGCAGAATTTCTAAGCTTTTTTTTAAGAGCTTATATGAGAATCCATTGGTCTTTTAGTACAGAACTTGCACATTGCCTCCAGATATTTTGTTGTCTTCAAGTCAAATGGCTAAACCAGATTCATTTTATGAAAATGGACATCATATGCTGAATTTTTTTTTTCTTTTTCTAAAAGCTTACATGAAAATCCACTAGTCCTAAATGCATAACTTGTATCATTGCCTCTAGCTATTCACTATTCGCAAGACCAATAGCTGAAGCAGATTGGTCTTATGAAGATGAACATATGCAGAATCTGTAAGCTTTTTATTTAAGAGCTTGTATGAAAATCCTTTGATCTTGTGGAAATGCACAACTATCATTGCTTCAAAAAATTCTCTTTGTCCTCAACCCGAATGGCTGAAGCAAATCCTTCTTATGAAGGTGGATATCATATGCAGAATCTATAAACTTTTTATCAAATAGCTTATATGATAATCCATTAGTCTTGTAGAAATGCACAACTTGTACCATTGCCTCTTAGAAATTCACTTTATAGGTGAATGGCTGAAGCAGATCAGCCTTATGAAAATGGACATCAAATGCAGAATCTTTAAGCTTTTTTCTAAGAGCTTATATGAGAATTCTCTGGTCTTTCAGATGCTCACATCTATTGTGTGACCAATATCCAGACTTCCTTGGACCTGGACCCTTTGTACCTGAAAAGAACATCCTCTTCTTGAGAGACTCTAAACTTTCCTTACATGGACTCAAAACCCTTGGCCAGAATGTAGTAATTCTCCATCTAACTCCCTTGCCTTCCCTTTCTCAGAGCTCTCTGTTCTGGAAGATCTCTATCATTGCCAATCTCTCAAAAGTAGCCTTATCATGAAGGCTAGCAACATCTGAAGTGCTGAGTTTTGGATATCTCAAGGGTTGCTTTTTCCTGCTACTTTGATAACATTGAATCCCTCATTTTTGCTTCTTATTCATGCGTTTTTTGTGGAGGGCCATCAGAATTCTACATACTCATGGTGGGCAATATTTTCTCTGCGACCTAGCTGAGTTTGGAGTTGTGTGGTTTCATGTAAGAAGAACATGTATGCTTGACTTCTCATGGTGGATCTTTCAACCCAAACTATACCTAGTGGTTGGTCCTTAATGATTGTGTCTTGCGGCTGTGGTGGAAGATCAGGTTTGGTGGAAGTTGTGTGGTTCATGTAGCTGATGTGGTGGAAGATCAGGTTTGGTAGTAATTGGATGTAAGGGAAGAGGCTTAAATGAATATCTTGACTTCTCATGGTGGAGCTTCAACCCAAACCATACCTAGTGGTTGATCGTTGGTGATTTTGTCTTCTGCTGAGAGAGCACTAATTCATGTTCAACTGTTCAACCTTTCCATGATGGTATCTAAATTAGGAATTAGGAAGTTGGGCTGTTTGAGCCTTAAATCATTGATGTAGTCATCAACTATTTTCACTTGGCAAACATAAAGCAGTTCCTCATTTGGTGATAGCCACTGAACCGTCCATCAGCTCGACTTGAAACTTGTCCCAAGTTCTGGCTGTTTGTTGTTGTCATGACCATCACATGAGTCGATGGCTGGACCATTCGGATAGAAAAACAATAGGTCCATGCCGTCAATGGTTGGAAGTTCAACGCATTTGCAATTGGTGGAGGAGTTGTTTTAGCTGCTTGCATCTCTGCAACTTAACCAAAGCGTCTTCAGTAGTGATATGTTTCTACAATCAGATTCTCTGGTCATTTCTCCTTAGGACGTGAATCAGTTCTTGTGTGCGTCGTCTCCGGCATCAGTCTGGAGTAGTGGCAGATTGGACCAATTAATGGAGTTAAAAGTCACTTAGCCTAGAACTAGAACCGATTTTACTGAGAAATAGGAGTGAAACAAAGGGACAAGTTTCTTCCTCAGAGACTTTGTTGGTTCTGTTCTCTCTCTATATGAGACTGAAGTTTGATGTTTTTTTTCCTTTTGCCGTTTTTTGATCTCTCGATGGTCTTTCACGTCTTTGCTCACCTTAGCTCCTAATTACTTCCACTTCTACATTGTCTTCGTGTCTATGAAACTTCTGTTTTGTTTTTGCCTTTCTTGCTCATTATGGTAAAACTTGGCGGATATTAACATCTTTGTTTTTCTGTTCTTATGGTTTATTAGATAGTAAAGATGTACACGAAGGAGGAGAAACTGCACTATAGCTTGGAGTATCTTGATTTCGAATTAGAAGGCGAGTTTTACTTTTATCCTCCTTTGCACATTTGTTTTTTTCTAACTTAAATATCAGTTTAAGTTTGATGCTACATGAAAGACTTTGTTCTGTTCTGATTTTTTTTTATACGTTTCAGATCTACATGAAACACAAGTCTACCAAAAGTCTGAATATGGGGGAGAAGAGTGCTTGATGATTCGACCCGCATATCCACCACTTTATCTTGAAAGCGAACTCAAAATCAAGAATGAACAAGAACCTCTTGTAGTAACTCATCGTTCTTTGAAAGTAGGAGATTTAGTTGATTGGTGGAAAGATGATTGTTTCTGGTCTGGAACGATTACGAAGAAGAAGGGAAATAACGCAGTACAGGTATAACACATTTGTATACTTGTCCTTGTTGTGTAAGAAGTGTTATGGAGTGTAAAGTATGATTTCCGTTAAAATCTTGATTTCAGCGGCTTAATCATATTTTACTATTTCATCTATTTTGCAGGTTGATCTGACTCCACCACCGCACGGCGAAGGAGCGAGTTACAAAGCTTTGCGCAATGACTTGCGTCCATCTTTGGAATGGTCACTTGAAGATGGTTGGAAATTGCCTTCTATGGTTAGTTTCTTTCCCTTTACATGTGTGATTTTGTATTTATCGATGTCTTTTTGGTTAAGTTTGTTGTGATTGTGTTTCTTGTTTCTTTTGATGTTTCAAGGTATTCTCATTTGCCATTAGTTGCTTATCTTGTATAATCAAATGTTTATATTGTAGGATGGACAAAAAAGGCAATGTGCTAAGCTCGTGAAACGTGAGAAGGAAGGTTAGATTCTCTACTCCCGTAGATGAACGGATGATTCTCTCTTCTACAATGGTTTTATTTGACTTATTTTTTACATTATAGATCAAGTGATGGCTGATGTTTGCGACATTGAGAAAGAGCAAACAAACAGTGTCAAGAAGCAGAAAACAGAGAGTGTCAAGAAGCAGAAAACAGAGAGTGTCAAGAAGCAGAAAACAGAGAGTTCCACAGAGGGACAATTGATAGGTCATGAAGAGCTTCCTTTGAATATCAACGAGTCAGATTCTCTTGAAGCTGCGGTTTTTGACTTGGAGGAGCTTATTGTTCGAATTGAGTGGCTAAAAAGAATGTTGAAACCAGATGTTGGAGAAGCTTCAAAAGCATATTGGAAGTATGAAGATTATCTCCCTAGAATGTGAAATTCCTAAGGGTAGGTTTGTGATCTCTTTATCTCTCTACTGCTTCGTATTTATGTTTACATGAAGATCATCTTTAGAGTCGAATAGTAATGGGATTAAAAAGTATAGTGTGTTGTATCTTTCACTTATGTAATTGTATTGTTTAATTTTTTTTTACTCAGGTCAACTTGGAAAGAAGATGGTTATGAGTTTTGACACACTAAAAAAAGATTCTTGATGATGTAGGTTGTATATATTTTTCTAAAATTCCTAGGGATGCTTGTTAAGATCAGTTTCAATTTGTAATTTGCACACATGCGTTTATTTTAGTTGGAAGCGAATGTGTTTTTTAACTGAATACCACGAAGTTCAGTTCTTTGTTTTAAATAATTGGAGTGTTAAAAGAGTGGTATCATCATATCTCTAGTCAGTTGCTTAGATGAAATTTTAAATCTGAAGAATTGTGGGCTATAATTACATACAAGTCAACCTACCACAAAAAAAATTGGATTTAGAAGAGATCGGATCAAATTGAAGCACCGATTTACATATTCGAATGAAGCTCTCACTTCTATATTCAAAAGAAGACTATATTCGAAGAAATAGAGAGTCGAATAGGTATCTAAAATAAAATAATTGAAGATCGAATGGATATTCAAATCTTAAATACTCAAAACCTAATTGTTATAAGTATTTCAGATATTTTCACATTTTTCGTGTATTTTGAATAAATTAAGTATTTTATGATATCTAATCAGGATTTGGGTAAAAATTTTCGGATAAAAACTGATTTCCAAACTAAACCGAACTGAACTAGAAAATATCGAAATGAACCTCTAACTGAATACTTAAATATTCGACATCCAAATAGAATTGATCCAAATTCGAACGGGTATTTAAATACTCAAACCTAAAAAAAGCTTATAATAGTGAAAATTGGCTTATATACTATATCTGGATTTAAAACTCTAAAAACTGATATTGACTCAAACTAATCGGTTTGGATCGGGTTCAATATCTCTAAATTAATAGTGGCCGTATTCAATAAGTTCTTGATTGGATCAAATTTTTTCAAATATCCAAATAAGTATCTAAAATATTGACATTTTGGATGTATTTTAATTATTTTTATCTTATATACTATACAAAAATGGAGTTAAATTTCCTCTAAATGTTTCCTATACAAGAATGGAGTTAAAAATGTTTTGGCTCTTCAATCAAAAATCTGAACTAAGAGGATATCAATCTGAATCGAGAGAGTACCAAATCAAATTTTAAAGCCTGTTCTATTAAAGCTCACGACAACGTAAACTTCAGTTGGCACCATTTCATCGCTCTTATCTATTTGTAATACATGTATCTATCTTAAGCTTTATTGAAAGATGGAGGTGAAATTCCTCGTATATAAAGTGGAGAAAATATAGCAAGACTCATATCGGATAAACTTTGGCGTGAAGAGATACTCAGGTCGGGCTTATCATCTAAGATTTGGTAATTGAACTAATAGTTAAATAAATTATTTTTAGCTTAAATTCACTTTCAATTTTGATGATTAATGATGAGTAGGCAAAAATATCTCCTTAAATTGAATTTTTGTAACAACATCAATGTTGATTAGTTTTGAAACATAAAATTCAATCAAGTAATTTTGATGAAATTTTATTCTCATCACTCCACTTTCATCGTTTACTTTGAGAGCTCCTGCTATATAAACAAGCCATAATCTCTTCCTCTCATCACCATCAAACACACCAAACAAATTCTTCGCAATAGCTTATTTCTCTGTTATCTTTTGCTCTGGAGAGTACTCGCAGAAAATTGGTTTGATGAATTATGTTCTTCAGTATTAGAAAGCAGAAACAACGCAGTTGTATCTGAAAAACCTAAACCCTACGAAAGCGTCATACTAGAGGACATTTACAAATTTGAGGAAGTAGGTGTTTGAAGTCTCACTTCTACATGCAATTCCTTTTCATCCTTCTGATTGGTATTGCATTTTGATTTATGCTCTTCACATATCCTTATATATATCCGTTGTCCTGTTGTAGTAATTAAGGTTCCACCAACTGTACCATCGAAACCATTTCTAAACAACACATTTCCAAAGGTTGATGACTATCTGCTAGGATGCTTGACATGTCCCATAGAAGAGCTATTATCTTCAAATGAAACAGGCACATACTCATTCTTTAAAAACTTGCGCGTATCTTCAAGAATTTGTTGTCCTTCATACAAATCCCTCGCAAACTCGAGAAAGGATCCCTATTCTTTCCATAAGACATCAATGTGACATTTCTTGATAGTCACACAAAATCAAAAAAGTAGTGAAGAAAAAACAGATGTTTCACTCATGTAGGCAAATAAACTGAGACTAGGGTTTTTTTAAGTCTTAGTTTCATTCTCAGAGTTAACCTGGACCAGAAGGCTAGATCTAATGATCTACACCAAATATGTATCAGACAAGAAACGTTTTGTCCAATACATTTGAAAGAAAAAAAAGTTGTTAACTGAAACACAGCGCAGAGCATTTTGAGAGATGTTTTTCAAAGTTTGATAACCTATCATGCTTTTTGATTAATCTTCTCAAATCTCCTCAAAGAGTAGCAAAAGAGTTTGAAAAGACATTTAAAAAGCTAAGTTTGGCTTTTACATAATCAAAATAATGATGGAACACTATTTTAAACAATGAAGTCCTAATAGCAAGAAACAAAGGTGTCCCAATACAAATAATCATCGACGACACAAGTATAGTCAAAACACTGATTCAAACATCTTAAAACACTATGAATTAAGTAGAGCAGAAAACTCTAATATAAGTAGATAATATAACTTATCACATACCTGGTAGTAGTGTGAATGATGCCAAAAGATGGTTGAGTAGAGCAGAAAAGGTAACGGATGATGCAAGAGGTGAGGGGTCATATATACACAAGCAAAATCAGAAATCACCAGTGTGCAAACTTCTTTGGAGTTTTTAAAGTTTAAAGTTCTCTCCACAAATATGACCGTTGATGCAATGTAGAGTATTAAGACATTAAAAAAAAACTATAGAGACCAACATAGTGAATCGATCATGTAATTACCGTAAAACGATTAAGGACTAGCCGGAACGTGAGAGAATAGAGAGATGAAAGTGAGATTGGTAATAAAATTAATCTGGTTAGAGATTGATAACATCACATGAAAAGGTGAATCTGAATCTAGACTGAGGAAAGTTTCGAGATTCCGCCGAAAATTGCGACATCGTTGGAACCCAAAGGTTTCTTCGAGAGAAGAAACCCTAAATGGAAGCTCCTATCTCTCTTTCGTGGAGAGTAAGTTTTTATTTATTGAATCTTTCCATGTATCCGTATTATCCTAAAATCTTCTTTTATGGTTTAGGATAAATCACAATGGTAGAAACTAACAGGGTTGATATGCTGACGTCAAAAAGAAAAAGATATGTTACTTTTTTAGAGAAATTTGTTGGAATTGATACTTTAACCAAAATGATGGTGGACTAGTGTAATATATATAAAGGTTGGGTTTTTTTGTGTTCCGCTTCAGATCTTTTTGAAATGAATATTTATTTTTTAAATTAAATTATAAAATGGGTTAGCTCCGGATATTGAGTGAGATTATAGGTCTTAGAGCATCTCCATTGTATAATTCTATTTTTCACTTTAAAATAGAATAATTATAAAATAGAATTACATTTCTTTTCAATGTATGATTCTATTTTTTTCTATTTTATTATTAATTACTAATTAATCAATAGTTTTTCAAAATTTACAAATTGATTCAATAATTATTTTTCAAAATTTTTATAAATTATACGAAACTTTAACTATAATTATATTAATATAACAAACACATTACACTATATCAAAATAATAAAACAAACTTTATATTTAATTAATTTTGTTTTAATTTTAGTGTTTTAATATTTATAATTAATCAATAAAAAGAAATAATTAATTAAATAATAATTTATTAGATTTAAAATCTATACTATTAAAAGAGGATCAATATTTGAAATAACCTTTAGCTAACGTGTAATTTACATATATTGCCATTAATGAATTTATATCAACAAAAAGTATAAACTTTGTAAATTAATTATACATTACTAACTAATGATCATAAATCCGACATTACAGGCCATTTACCTTCGACTCTGAACCATTTATTTAACCCGTTTGTACCTGCTTCACGAATCAACACACAAGAAATACAACATTACTTTACAATCACTCTATAATCAATTCTTTCTGCTAACACATAATCTTGATTGTTTTCCAAAATTCTATTACCGAAAACATACACCTAATGATTCTAACAAACTTGGTCTAATGTTTTACAATGATAAATACGAAACCATATTCTATTGACCGAAAATATATACTAAATGATTCTAATTATCTTTTAAACAAATAAAACTATACTGTCCAAAACATTTTTATCAACAAAATATTTGAATTTTTGAACATCCGGGCCATTCAATTCTGTTTAAATTTTAAACTTCAAATCTGAACAAGCAACACTAGATTTTCTGTTACAATATATTCAATAACTACTGATTTATATTAAATACATTATGATTTTTAAAAGATAATATATTCCATTTTTCTATCAATCCCGTAAAATATACGATCAATAATTTATATTGTTAACTAAATATACCTTTTTAAGGGAATAATTCTGTATCTATCTAATGAAATCTAATATCTTCCCTATATTTTCTCTATTTTGAAATTGTAACAACCCAAACTAATCATTTCAGCAATAAATACATACTTCGACTTAGCTCTATAACTCATTCGAACTACACAAAGCATCCTAAATCAAACTTGGTTCTTAGCAAAAAAAAAAATGAGTTCTCTCATTGGTTTTACTAACCTCTCCGACGTCAAGCCTTTCAAAACAGGTTGGAGAGTCCGTGTCAAAGTCGTGCATTCCTGGAAACAATACACTGCACAATCCGGTGGATCATTGAAGCTCATTCTTGCTGATGAATCTGTAAGATGATAATATTTAAGATAGTAACATTATTTATTAATTCCATAAATTTGTAAAACTTATATACTTACACTAACAATTGTGTTTTCTATATTTCAGGGTACAATGATACATGTATCTGTTAAAAAAAGCTATGTTCAGCGTGTTGAGCGATTGGTTCCTGTTGGAGAATGGAAAGTTGTTGAAAACTTTTCATTATCATCTGCATCTGGCCAGTACCGACCAACAAGACACACTTACAAGATGTCTTTTACGGATAACACATCTATCACTAAGTGTAATGTGAAGAAAACGGGAGATTTCATAAAACTCGTGGATTTTGATACCATTTTAGGTGGTTCACTTAATCACAGTTTTTTGGTTGGTGAGTATTGTAAATTGGAATATAGTAAATATTTTGGTTTTTAACTATGTTGCTTCATTATAAATTTTTACATAAAATTTTAGACGTTATTGGTCAAGTGGTTAATGTTAAAGACCTCGAAGGTGTGCAATTGAATGGAAAGGAGAGAAAAAAAATTGAGTTTGAGCTACGAGATACTAAGTAATATCTTTACTTTACCATGATTAAGTTTTATAAGTCTTTAATCATTATTTTTAATGTTGCCTAAACGTCTGTTATAACTATGCAGTGATGAGCGTATGCTGTGCTGTCTGTAGCAAAAACATGCTGAAGAACTATTTAGCAGTTGTCAAGATGCTAATGGTGAACCCGTTATATGCCTTATACGATTTGCTAAAATCGGAACCTACAGAGGTATAAATTTAGAGATAAAATATTACCTTCAATTAAAAAGACCACCATAATCTCATTCCATTGCTATATATGTTATTTTTTCAGGAAAGCTTCAGATCACAAATGCCTTTGATACAACAAAATTGTTCATCAATCCTTCGATACCTGAGGTAGAAGAATTTCAGAAAGCGTAAGTCATTAAGTGTATTACGTATCAATTACTAGAGTCCTACAAAATAAATAATATCTCCGCATATCAACTGAGAATCATAGAATATTGAAACTTATCTTTACATATTCTCCAGGCTGCCAGATGATAGTCTTGCTCTCACAATTCAAGAACCTAAAGATGAAGATTCTCAGTTGGTTAAAAAGAAGGAATATTGGGCACAATTGCCACAAAAAATAATTGAAGAGTTACTCGCTGCAGTAGAGGTAAAAAATTGCTAAATTCAGAGTTCACCATCATTTTTTAATTGTTTAAAACATACATTCTGCCAAACCCCTTATAAGTTTAATAAATTTGTTTAACAGATTAAGAAATGCAAGATAATGTGCTCGATCTATGCCATTGATATCGACTGGGGTTGGTATTATTTTGGTTGTCTGAAATGTAATCGAAAGGTTGAAAAAACTTCAAAGAAACAAGCAGGAAACACAGTTCGAGTAAATGCACCAACTTGGTGATGTAAAACTTGTGATGAAGTCATCACTAAGGTTTCAGCAAGGTTATATTTATTCTTCACCCGCGAATGAATTAATTTTTGATATATCTAGATTATCCAACACTATTAAAAGATCTTTTGTTTTTCTGGCTTAAGCTTCATTTTATGGTTACAGATCAAACTGCAAAAACAAAAGTGATGCTTCTTGACAAGGTGGAAAATCACATCATGCCCGTATCAGCAACTGATCTACTTGGGGGTTCGTTTGATGAGGTAATTCATTGTTGAATAATGTACATGGTTGATCATGGTTCCTAACATAGTACGTGTTTTTTATACAGATGGTGGATACTGAAGATTTCCCTCAGCCTATAAAGGATTTAGTGGGAAAGACTTTTCAGTTTGTTGTCTTTGTTGCGAACGAAAACATGTACTACAGTTTAGAGACCTATAAGGTTGGGAATGTTTGGACTGGAAATGATCTAAGTCTACCAACAGACACTTCCTTGGACACTCTAACACAAGTTGACAATTTGTCCACAATTGTTTCAAGTGACGAGGTATTGGTTGTTTGTACCCGCTTATAATTATGCATCTCTTCTTATATTATCTAACATAGTTATTATTATTTTAGCTTTCTATAATTAATAGTAGCACTGGAGGAAATTCAAATGTCAGCACAACACCTTCTTCTAAGCGATCTTCTGAAGATGTGAAGAATTACCTGATCTTTCATCAACATCAAAGAAGCTGTGCACCAAGTCCATCAAGCTGGAGAAGATCAATGATTACGAGTCAAAAACAAAACATGAGAAAAATATTGTCGAAATCAAAGCTAAAGCTGAGCCTAAAACTAGCGATATCAAGCAGGAGCAGATGATAAAAACAAAGAAAACATCCACTATTTGATCGACAAATGCTGTAAAAAGCAAAGACGGTGAAGTGTTAACAAAAGTGGAAGATAAGTGATAGGTCCCTAAAACCCGTCCATTCTAAATTGATCCCAAAGGCTTCGTTACCATGAATCTTTCTTTCAAGTTTTTATCATAAGACTTCCTTTTTTTTTAATTTCAATTATTTGTTCTTTTGGTTTAGTCTACCATTTACAATAATTTCAATATAATAAAAGGTCTTTGGTAATCAAGCATTTTATTTAGATTTGTGATAGACATCAAATAGCTATATACTTGCAACACGAAATTAATGAGAATAAGTAAAACATACCTTAGTAATTGATTGTTCTCAGATCGATATTATACTCGCAGAAGTCCAAAACATCCCCTTCTCTGAAAAAGTAAAAGGACCATTGATCACATAAATAGATTCATAGGATAAGATTTTGGTATTTGATTTTGACCATTAACTACAATCTTTTCGATGGTTAACGATGATAACAAAAATCATGGTAAGCTATATTGGGCTAAATGAAATTAATGAGAAGAAGGAATAAATATCTTTTAATATAATGTGCTCATTTTGTATGGACTATTCTCATGAAGATAAAATATCCAGAAGTCCAAAACTCAACCTTCCTGTAAAAAAGTTATCGGAGCATTGGAGATATCAATATTTTCAGAGGATAAAATTTTTCTTCCTGATTTCGACCAATAACTACAAAATTATAGTCAAAAACTTTTGTCAAATCGATATCTTTACACAGTATATTTTCTGAAAAGTTTCTGAAGATCAAATATTTTGAATACTTACCGATGCAATGCCATTGTGTGCTCTTTTCCTATTCCTCTTTTCCCCAAACGTCACCTACAAATCTGACACTAAGATTAATTTAGTTCTACGAATTGCATTGATAGCTTTTCGAAATTCATTAAATAATTAAAAGAATGCATTGCATCTAATCACGTAACCTACTTCTCATCTCTCTATATATAGAAGATCAAGGAGTATAACTTGAACACACAAATCTTCTTTCCTCAAATTCTATCTTATTTCTAAAATCATGGCTGTTTACTATGACAAAGTCATTGATCTGCATCCATGGAAGTCTGATTTTAGTATGCGTCTCAAAGTTCATAGAAAGTGGCATACTATTGATCATAATGGAGTTGAGTCTCCATTTTATACTGGCTGACGAACATGTAAGAAAATAGTTCCCTATTTATAATTTCTTTGTAGATCGATAACTCTTTAAAAATATTTGGAACAATTAGAGATTCATCGCAAAATACTAAATATATTTTTTTTATTCTAAAAAAATATGCAGGGTGAAAAGGTCCATGGTTATATCAACGCGGAGTGGATGTTACCATATTTTGACCAAAAAATGATAGAAGGAGAGTGGAAGAAAATATCTAACTTTACTGTCATCAGAATTCCTAATCTTCAGCGATTAACTGAAACCGACAAAGAACTCAGTTTTCTGGAGAACACAGAGGTGCACAGATGTATCTATATTAGCGAAGACCACTTCATGAATTTCAAAAGCTTTGATAAGGTTTTCAACCATCATGTACTCCTGAATATTCCAGTTGGTAAATACTTAGAACTCTAACTATTCTATACTATATAATAAACCTATATTTCTTAATGTCTGTTTAATCAAGCTCTCATTTTATTGTTCATATAGATGTAATTGGGAAAGTTGCTAATGTTGGAAATCTAGAGTTAGTCCATGATGATCTGTTTCCACATGAGTCTCCTAAAAAAATATGCCGTCTAATGTTCACCATTGTCAATAACGAGTAAGGAACTTTTAATTTTTAAATTAAAATTTTTTGATGCATGACTTTTTTTAAAACATTAGTAATTTTTATATTGACAGTGATGATTCGATTCAATGTGTGGCATTTAGGAAATTGGCTGAGGCTTTTAATCAGCATTGGTTCTGTCTTAACGATGCTAATGCTGTTGTTGTGCTATCTGATTGGTGTCCAAGGACTATTGAAGGTATATTTTATCTGTTTATATGTGTTCCAGAATTTAATCAAATGAAAGTTGCAGTTAATGACAAACAAGTTAATATTTTATTTAATTTTAACCTAGGAAATGAACAATTGATGGATGAGAGAGGCGTTTCTCGCTTTTACTTCGATCTCAATGTTGGAGAGGTGTTTGAATTCAAAGAAAACATGTAAGTTTGATAATCATATATGTATCATGATTATCTCCTTTGGCTTTTCAATTAAAAAGATTATTACTTAACGAATATATTGTTTTATATTATCAGGCCAAACACTCCCATTGAGATTGCTTAAAAGAGGAGAAGAGGAGAAAAACCTATGGTGGAGTCAGCTCTAAGTTGGAAAAATGTTTTTTAAGTGTGATTTGTATTTCATTTTTTTTGCTTTATGAACTTTGGTTAATTTTTCATCTTTCCTGTTCTATCTTTTGTGATTTGTATTTCCAAACTCATGTTTTATGTACTCTATCTTAACTATTCATGAAACGGCTTACTTTTTTAATTATGCTACTGTATTTCATCTTCATTTTAATGTAATTTTGTTAACTATTTATATTTCAATATTGTTTAAATATTTTACTAAATCGATGTGACAATAGAAATAGAAAAAACTAATATTTAAAAAAAATTATTAAGTAAAGACCAAATATTCTACTAACTTTATAGCCGAAGTATGGTGCGATGAATCAGCTTGGTGATCCTAGATGTTCCTTCTTTATTCATCTGCGATATAGTATAGATTTGATACAAAATTAGTATATATATTTTGTTTAAAGCAAATACACAAAAAATTGAAAAATTTAATTTTGATCTTATGCACTAACGAAAATGATAATTATACTGATTTCGTTAAGATTTTATTCTATTCAGAATATATATTAAGATAAAAAAATATTTATATTTTATTTGGTAATTAGATTTTTTAGTTGACTTAAACTCTAAAATACATTAGAACCAAATGAACATAAAACTCTAGATTTTGAATAAAATTCTCAGACTTTCTCAATACATGTAAATAGCAAATATATTATTGATACTTTCATTCTACAACTTCATGTTTGTGTGCAAGATCGATGAAGGAAACTAAAGCACCAATTGAGAACAGAAGTACTCAAGCAACTTCTTAACAGAAGAGAAAGAGAACTACAAAAGAGAATAATTCCGAAAATTTTCTAGAGGATGTTCAGTCAAATCTTACGAACCGGAGAACTCCAGCAGTTTTTACTAGAATCTTTAATGATCTATTAAACATACCTTTGCAAAATAGACGAGATTCTGAATATCAAGGTGGAAGGAGCAATGAAATGCCTACATTCGGAATATCACCAGGTTAGAAATTTTGCTAAACGATTTAAATAAAAAAAATCAGAAAACCATTCATTGGATCAAACGTTTTAATTTGGAACAATATTTATAAATCATAATGCAGATGTAAGTGACAG